TTTTATGACTTTTTATGCTTTACTATACTATGACTTTTTATGCCTTACTATACTATGACGTTTTATGCCTTACTATACTGGGACGTTTTATTGACTTTTTATGCCTTACTATACTATGACGTTTTTATGCCTTACTATACTGGGACGTTTTATTGACTTTCTATGCCTTACTATACTATGTCGTTTGTATTACTTTTTATGCCTTACTATACTATGTCGTTTTTATGACTTTTTATGCCTTACTATACTATGACTGTTTATGCCTTACTATATTATGTCGTTTTTATAACTTTTTATTACTTACTATACTATGTCGTTTTTATGACTTTTTATGCCTTACTATACTATGACTTTTTATGGCTTACTATACTGTCTTTTTTATGACTTTTTATGCCTCATTATATTATGACTTTTTATGCCTTACTATACTATGACATTTTATTGACTTTTTATGCCTTACTATACTATGACGTTTTATGCCTTACTATACTGGGACGTTTTATTGACTTTTTATGCCTTACTATACTATGACGTTTTTATGCCTTACTATACTGGGACGTTTTATTGACTTTTTATGCCTTACTATACTATGTCGTTTGTATTACTTTTTATGCCTTACTATACTATGTCGTTTTTATGACTTTTTATACCTCACTATACTATGTCGTTTTTATGCCTTACTATACTATGACGTTTTTATGAACTTTTATGCCTTACTATACTATGTCGTTTTTATGACTTTTTATGACTTATTATACTATGACGTTTTTTAGACTCTTCATGCTTTAGTATACCATGATGTTTTTATGCCTTACTAGAATGTCGTTTAAATTACTTTTCATGCCTTACTATACTATGATGCTTTCATGCCTTACTATAATATGATGTTTTTAAGCCTTACTATACTATGTCGTTTTTTTAACTTTTTATGCCTTACTATACTTTGATGTTTTCATGCCCTACTATGTTTGTTTTTTTTTTTACTTTTTGTGCCTTACTATACTATGACGTTTTTTATGACCTTTTATGCCTTACTATACTATGTCATTTTTCTGACTTTCTATGCCTGACTATATTATGATGTTTTTATGGCTTTTTATGACTTACTATGACTTTTTATGCCTAACTATACAACGATGTTTTTATGTCTTACTATACTATGACTTTTTTATGCTTTACCACAATGTCGTTTTTATGACTTTTTATGCCTTACTATAGTGTGACGTTATTATGCTTTACTATAATATGTAGTTTATTTTACTTTTTATACCATAATATGACTTGCTATGATGTTTTATGCCTTACTATGCTTTGATGTTTTTATGCCTTACTAAGCTATGACTTCCCAGGCCTGTGGCCTTTCTATGTGGTGACATGTTTTGAGGTTATTGTATTTTGTTTAAATGGGTATGTTTTAGTCTATCCCCTTGTATGTCTGAATGGCCTGATCAGCCACTATCTATGTCTCCCCTATGTTTCAGTCATTAAGGTCAGTTAAGTTCGCTTCTGTAAGTACTTGAGTTTAGTTCTGTTGCATTGACCTTTCTTATGGGCCCAGAATTGTAATTTTGAGGTATTTTTGTCATTCATTTTTTCATTTTGTAAATAAAATAATGGACATTCATTTCCAAAGATCTGTGTCTCTCTGGTCATTTTTATGACTTTTTATGCCTTACTATACTATGTTGTTTTACTATACAATGACTTTTTTATGCCATTACTATCCTATGGCTGTAACAGGATGATTGGGTTGTGGTGGTGCCATGGAGTCCTGGTTTGATTAGCTTTGGTGGTAACATGTTGGTTTTTCAGTAAAACATATATCAGATATACTAAAGATTCAAAAATTTGTGCTGTTGAAATTCAGAGCTGTGTCAGTCTGGTCTCCTGACAGTCTCCTGTCTGAATTTCAGCTACAGAAATGTTAGAAGACACACAATAGGTCCTTTGTATCTGAGCCCAGTGTCTGAACAGGAGGAAACAGTCCCATCTGATCACTGAACCTTCAGTCCAAATATTTTTAGCATCACTGTCCCCTGAGATAAACCATCCTCTGGCCCTCATACTGTCAGAGTGATACTCACACAAAAAACCTCCTCCAGAGGGTTTGTTACATTATTTCTAAAAACCTCCTGAAAGCTGGACAGAGCACAGAGGACATAAAGGAACCAGTACAAAGAATTTTATTTTATTAAATTCTCATAAACCAAAATGTTGGAACAATTAAAATTTCATGGTAAAATCATTCAGGAGTTGTTGATATTTCTAGACCAATGTGGCCGAAGGACCAACCGACAGGTCGGCATTTCTTTCTTTAATTATCCCTCACCCTGATTGACCAGTTTCAGCACTAAAAGTCAGTTAAGTTGTCTCCAGCTCTTTCTTACCTGATGTCAGTGCAGTGTCCACAACTGCGGCCTCTCGAGCTCCAACCTCAGTCTCCTCGGGCGGCGGCTTCGGCTCAGGACTGATCTTCAGCTCCCACAACTTCTGCTTCACGTCCGTGGATGGCGGCGGCGGCGGCGGTGGTGGGAGGGACAGAGGGGCAACTTTGTTCCTGGTCAGCCGAGGCGTGGACCAGCCGCTGGAGTCAGAGCCGCTGTCCCAGCCCTCCCAAAACCAGGGCTTGTGGGAATGCTCCATCACCCGCCGTGTCAGCCGGTACTTCAGAGAGTCCTCGTAGCATTTGGAAAACGTCTCCCATTTGGGATCTTTAAACTTCTTCATATACTCCGTCCGGATCTTCTTGGTCACCATTTTTCTTGTTATTGCTCGTGTCTGATTGTAATCACTGGGGGAAAACAGAGGAGGGACATTAATAGAGCTACGAGCACTCAGCAAGTCCGCGCCACACTCCATGGTCAGCAATGTAGACTGGTTATTATCAAACAAAGCAAGAGAAGTTCAAGTGGCTGTACCTTCAAATATCAACCTAAAAACACATAATGGTTTTTTATTTGGTGTTTGATAGACATCTGTGATACCAATGTCATTAGTTGGTTGATTAAAAACAACAGTTTCATAACTTTTGTGAGGACATATGCTTCAGTAATTTTAGTAAATCAATACAAAACTATACATATTCAGTATACATGTATAGAATAACTACAGATACAGAAATGCACCAGTGCACAGGTTCTCATCAACATCACGCCTCATGTCCTCTCTTCAATCCACTAAATATCCACATATCCATTATTTATTGTGTCTAAGAGGAGACACCTGATCATAAACTGTCCACCTCCATGAAGAGAAGAGTTCCTCTGGTTGGCTGAGGAATGGACAGTGAGGTGGAAGGAAAAGTGACACCATGGGCTGTAAACCAGGCTGTGACTGGGAGAGAATGGTGAGACACATAATTACAAGCAGTTCTGGATTCAGCCTCACCTGCCCCCTTTCCTCACCTGGCTCAAGTCTTTCATAGAGGTCATCAAGGAATGAAAATAAGATACCCGGTGTCCCAATTAGGGGTTTTCATTTTTATTTTTTATTTCTGTTTAGATGTAGATGTAGTAGGATGTAGCAAACCCTAGTCTTATTTAGATTAACTTTGTGTTATGTTTTAATTGTTTGAACGTAAATGTAACAATTATACAGCATTATATAAATGCGCAAAATTAACTGTCAATACACAGAGTGGTGGTGGGTTAGTTTGAGTGAGAAAACAGTTCATGAACAGTGAAATATGTGGTAATTTAATGCATTTTGCATCAAATGAAAGGAAAGCGATCCACAGTTTAGTCTGACTGTGTGAAGAGGTTTGAACTCGGCATACAGAAATTTGAGTTAGTGATGGTAAAAAAACTGATGAATCTTATATAAATATACAATAAAACGATAGTGATAGTAGTATTTTTATCATTTCTCATTTTCTACAAATCATTAAGATTGCAATACTTAAAAACAACAAGAGTTGGACAGTCACACCTATAACTAAAAATGTTGTTGAGATCTCTCCATTTCATATAAAGCTGCTGGAAATCAATATATTTCGATCTAAACTCTAACAAACCTTATTTTAATGCAAAGTAATTGTTAATATTTCACCAAATAAATCCACATATAGTTTCTGAAGGGATCCACCTGCAGCACCTGCTGACGTGCTTTCTGCCAGGTGTGGTCTACCTGTACGCCCCGCCCACCTACCTCCACAACAGATTATACTGAGAGCAGAGGATTGAGGCTCATAATAGTCTTACTACTGACCGCACTACTACAACTATTACTCATACTGCACGAGCAATAACACTGGATCTATTTCAGTCAGGAGTCGTCCCGCCTACACACACATTTCTTATTATTTTATTTAAATACCTGTTATTTCTTTAGTGAAAATAAACTACATTAATTATTTATTTGTCTGAGCTGGCCTACATCTGATCCGAGGACGAAGCCGGGACAGTATTTCTCATCAAAATGTCAAACAGCTTATCAATTATTGCTAATTTATTGAATCCTGTGACTGAAATACAGATATGCCTCTCTTTTTTTTTGAAGGCTCTAATTTCCCCAGCCAAAAACATCGTCTTGTTAAGATTTTAGTCTCTGAACACACCCAGGATACAAATAATAAAGCTTGTTTGTGTCTGCTGAAGGTGAAAAATACCATGAAGTGTGTGAATTTGAGGTTTAAAAATGACAGTAACCGTCTGAAAACAGGCTCCAGCCATGTTCACAGCCGTTACCCTCACCTGCCCGCTCCGTTAAACCCCCGTTTGTAAACACGGTGAGGTTTAAATATTGAGGCTAAACGGTTCCGGACTGATTCGGTATTAAAGTCAGACATATTTGTACTCACCCACACCTCATTCCAGACGGGTCCAGTCTGATTTAAAGTCCAGTCTGTCGCTGTAGTACCGCGGTCAGACGACGAAGCATCGCTCCGTTTCTCTAACTGACGAACCCCCGAGAGCGGAGCTAGCTAAAACACAACACACAGCTTCCGGCTTAGACTTTCAAAATAAACCTTCTTTTTTTTTTTTGCATAGTAATTCAAAAAATAAAGACAAATCTCCCATTCACAAATTTATTCAGACTGTTTCATGTATCACTCTAAATTGTGGTCATGAGCATCTTTTCTGCTTTAATTTCCCTTGAAATGTTTCTAGAACTTGTCACCTGTGGCAAACTGAATTGATTGGACACAGTGCATGTCAGCACAAAAACCAAGTAATTAAGTCCAATGAATTAACTGTAGACTTCCGCAATAAAATTGTGTCAAGGGTACGAAGTATTTTCTAAAGGTTTGGGTGTTTGCTGGAGGACAGTGGACTCAGTACTTGTGACATGGAAGAAGTTTGAAGGCACCGGGACTCTACCTACAGTTGGGGTTCCGGTCAAGTGTCACTGAAACTGTCATTTCTACCTTACTATAACGTTTTTCCTCAATGGGCTAATAAGGTGTATTTCATTGTGAACCTTATTTTGAAAGAAAAAAATCCTGTACTTCCGGCACAGCTCTATGTATTTCACACCAGCTTGGTGGAAGCAGAGCAGAAATGTAGAAATGAAGAATGAAATATGACTTTCCGTGAAGATGCAGAGACCATACTGCGCGTGCGTGCTCTGCCTCCATCTGTGCAGAGAAGACAACAGGTGAAAACAGAAAACACCTGCTGAGAACAGAGACATCAGACTTTAACTCATTAAACTCTAACTGGTTCTCATCTCTTAAAGGGCCAGTACACTATTTTTTACCAAGTTCACTCATGGGTAGTTCTACTTAGCCTCAAAAAAGGGACATGGACGTTTTTCAGACAAAGAGGGTCTGATAATTCAGATGCTGTGGAGTTGCATTATGGGAAATGTAGGAGCTAATGTTTTTGCACTAGGGATTAATGTCTAGATATCTAGACCTCTGTTGATTTCATTTTGACCAGTCTTGTATTAAATCCTTCTCCACTTTATCTATTATCTAATTTTATATTTGCATCTTCTCAGGCATTCACATTCACATTAATGTGAAATAGTATTTCCTCTGACGTCTTGGATGATATTAATTTTCAAAAGAATAATGTGATAAGTTTCTGCGGTATGAGAAGGAAGCTGGCAGCAGGCAGAGGATACTAAACGTACTGTTTATCTTGGCTCACAGGTGTTGCTGGATTTATTCTAACACTTGAACATGATCTCTTTGTTTTGTCTTGGATCTTTAAGAGTCTCATAAAGTTTATTATGAGTCTGGTTTCACTCATGTTTTTGGAATTGAACCAATAAACAGATTTTTGAAGGCAGCCAACAGATATTTTTGTGGTGAAGCTCACAAGTATTAATGCTGTGTACTAATTGTTTACAGTCTATACTACGCACTAATATTTATAATATGCTTTTATTGCAGCTAGTATTAAATATAAAATAAACTTAATTACTTTATAGTATCAATGATGCAACACTTAAGCTGTAGGATGTCAAACTGCCATTTCAGAATCCCACTGCAAATAAAACTAAAAACAAAATGGTTGTACAAATATGAACATTAAATGTTTGGTTTTCTTTGTTGAATGAAATAAAGGATTCTGTAGAAAAAACATCATATTTTTCAAAATAGTGCATCGAAATAAACAATATTGCAAATCAGCATTAGGACTGTAACTCAGGTATTGTATTGAAATATTTCCCAATATCCAGCCAAATTCAGAGGTGGATGATGTTATAAAAAAAAGACCAATATTGACCTGTGTCGGTAAAACAAAAACAAAAACATGCATCTAAAAACGTCCAGAATGAGGAATAACAGACAGCAGTCGTACGTGAAAATATATGGCTTTTATTTGCTTTGTTGTCTCGTTTCTTTTTTGGTCTTTTTTTTTTTCTTCTTCTTTTTTTCCTCACACTTGGTCCGAGTTGGAGTGTGTTGTACCTCGAAGCCAACACTCGCTTTGCTTTCACATACACACATCGGACATCATTCACATTCAAAACATCACATACATCAAAGAAGGAATAAATAACATATGTACAGGTGAGACGCCGATCTGTCCCGGCGTCGTGTGCTCCTGGTGTTAGGAGAGGACGTTGTTTCAGAGTCTTCCTGAGGACAGCAGCGGCGTGTTCGGCATCTCATTCGCTCTGGATCCTGAACCTGAGGTGGTTTTTCTTGGAGGCGTCGTGTTTAGAAGCACTTGCGGTGGACGATGCTGGGACCGGCCTCGTCGTACTCCTGCTTGCTGATCCACATCTGCTGGAAGGTGGAGAGAGAGGCCAGGATGGAGCCGCCGATCCAGACCGAGTATTTACGCTCAGGGGGGGCGATGATCTGCAGAGGGGGAGGGAGGAAGATTAAGTTAAGCACATCAGATCACATAAACAATAGCTTTTGTGCTTCTGTTCATCAACTTTTCAAGTGGCCTGTATATGGTCAAAATTAAGGCTGTTAGAGCAGCACGTTAACGCCCATGGTTCTGGAGTTAGATATTCAGTTATCACATATCGATGTAATGTTCAGGTGTCCACATACTTTTGGCCGTATAGTGTGTGTGTGGTGTGTGTGTGAAACTTCCTAAACTCTCCATAATCATCACAAACTACTGTCCCTGTATCGTACCTTGATCTTCATGGTGCTGGGCGCCAGAGCTGTGATCTCCTTCTGCATGCGGTCAGCGATACCCGGGTACATGGTGGTGCCGCCGGACAGCACGTTGTTGGCGTACAGGTCCTTGCGGATGTCGATGTCGCACTTCATGATGCTGTTGTAGGCGGTCTCATGGATACCAGCGGACTCCATACCTGTTCAGGTGCACAGGAGGAGCGGTTCAGGAAGACGTATTTAATACAAAAATACAGAATACATACTTCACAAATTCAGTTTGACCCTTTGAATATTCAGCTGTGAGCTTCCGGGTTGTTGTACGCACCGATGAAGGAGGGCTGGAACAGGGTCTCGGGGCAGCGGAAACGCTCGTTGCCGATGGTGATGACCTGACCGTCGGGCAGCTCGTAGCTCTTCTCCAGGGAGGAGGAGGAGGCGGCGGTGGCCATCTCATTCTCAAAGTCCAGAGCCACGTAGCAAAGCTTCTCCTTTATGTCACGCACAATCTCACGCTCAGCTGGAAACAGAGAGCAGAGATCAGACTTTCTGCAGAATATATGAAACCAGGATCTCAATACTTTTAAATCTAACAGATAAAAAAGGGATAATGTCCTAAACCTGAACTCATGGCTTAAAACCGTGACCCTGCTTTGACTCTTAGGCCTTAAAATAAAGCGGACAGCTGTGTTTTTCCTGATGTGAAGTCTTTACCAGTTGTGACGAAGGAGTAGCCGCGCTCAGTCAGGATCTTCATGAGGTAGTCGGTCAGGTCGCGACCAGCCAGGTCCAGACGCATGATGGCGTGGGGCAGGGCGTAGCCTTCATAGATGGGCACGTTGTGGGTCACACCGTCACCGGAGTCCAGGACGATACCTGAGAGCAGGAACACAAACATTCAACCTGTGGCAAGTGTAAGAGGCAGGAGGAGCTTCACAACTTCTCCTTTACACTTGATTTACAGAGCAACAGTTCTGCCACAGTTCTATTTTGGACAAAATTATGACTTTTCTCAGTTCATGAAATGAATATTACAGATTTTGGTTTGTTGCATTTTAAAAACAAAACTTGTGATTGACATTTGTCAATATTTCTTATTATTTCTGTTACAGATCAAATATTATTTAAAATAACCCTCAGACTAATGGACAAAAGGGCTTTATGTAATATCATACAGCAATATAGATACATATATATATATATATCATGATACTGTAAATGTTCAGGTGAATCAATTGAGAAACTATTTATAATCATTTAACTAACACGATGAAATGTCTGTTTCCAGTAAAATTTTTAAAAACTGTACAATCAAGGTACCATATCAAATTAATGCCAAACTCCTGTAATGGTGATGAGTCAGAACATAATGTAACATTAATAATGGGCTTCTATAGAAATGTTCACCCAAATTTTGGCTCATTTCACTAGATAAGAACAGTCCTGTTCATTGGTTTGTTAACATCTTCAGACACCTTGGTATAAATGCTAAATCTTTTTCTCTATCACTCTCATATCGGCCAGAGTTAATAACTTGTTGCATCTCTATATAAGTACCAATAAGTCACATGCCAGTGTTGAGATAATCCTCCTGTGAACTCTTGAACACATGGAAGCTTGTGTGTTGCACTCACCGGTGGTACGACCGGAGGCGTACAGGGACAGCACGGCCTGGATGGCCACGTACATGGCGGGGACGTTGAAGGTCTCGAACATGATCTGGGTCATCTTCTCCCTGTTGGCTTTGGGGTTGAGGGGGGCCTCCGTCAGCAGGGTGGGGTGCTCCTCGGGGGCCACGCGCAGCTCGTTGTAGAAGGTGTGGTGCCAGATCTTCTCCATGTCGTCCCAGTTGGTGATGATGCCGTGCTCGATGGGGTACTTCAGGGTCAGGATGCCCCTCTTGCTCTGGGCCTCGTCACCCACGTAGGAGTCCTTCTGACCCATACCGACCATCACACCCTGAGGGGAGGGGGGGAAGTGGGTGAGGACTGATCAACGTTTATTTTCTCTTAACTTACACAAGTTTTGGCCTGATGGGGGCGATAGAGAGAAGGACATAAGGGCACCGAAATCATGAGGTTGTTTTTTCTTGGGCGTGTGAATGCCACCTCGAACAAAAACAACCATATAGGTCGTTTTTTCAACCCTCTGATATGACCTATAGGACTGTCTCCTGAAATAGCGCCGCTAGCGCTTCTACAGAGGCATGCGTACACTGGACCTCGGTTGTCATGGTTACCATAACAAACTGAGAGAGCGGCATACCGATAGTCGCAGTGGTTACTATAATAACGCTCCTGTCATAATTACTACACCCACTAGATTTCGCCTAGCAACAAGACCTAACTGTGGGTCATAATAAGCTGCTGCACAAACGACCTATGGGCTCGTTTTTTACAGGAAACTCTCCTCGTAATGTTCCAAAAAAGCTGGTTAATTACAGCAACTGCAGCTTTTCTTTACTAATAAACAACCAAAAACTGAGGAGGTCAAGGGTGTGATGTAGCTCTTGTGTACCTGGTGACGGGGGCGGCCGACGATGGAGGGGAACACGGCCCTGGGGGCGTCGTCTCCGGCGAAGCCAGCCTTCACCAGGCCGGAGCCATTATCGCACACGAGGGCGGTGGTCTCATCGTCGTCACACATGTCTGCAGATTCTGGAGGCGGGAAATGAGAGGTGGTGAGTTTACTGAACAGCAGATGGACTCAACAGCAGCTAACACACTGGGAGAAGGCACACGTCTGAACTTATGTCTGTTAGGGAGTCTTGACATCTAAAGAAACCTCCTGTCACATGTGGTTTACTTTAGTTTTGATGTCAGAAATGTCACAAATACCAACTAAATACACACAAACTAACTTTTCCCCAGTCCAAATCCCAAAAATATAAAATTTGCAACAAACAAAACTGCAGATTATCACATTTGGGAAGCTGGAACCAGAGTGGGTTTGATATAATTTCTTTAAAAATGTCTCAAACTATTGATCAAAAATTAAAAAATATTTGCAAATGACTTTTCTGTCAATCAACCAGTCCATTGATTAAATCATTTCAGCTCTAAAAGAGAATTTCTTTCAAGGTCTAAGCTCTGAATATGTCATGTTTAAGTGTACAGACCATTCATTACTATTGTATTATGAAATATAGATAAACATTGTTTTACAGCCATCAAAATATTTTTGCTGTTGTTCTGTTTTGAGAAAAGTACGTTTTTTTGGCTAAACTGTGTTACGTAACAAAACTACACAAGCAGTGAACACATGATCTCATCTTCTGCTTTCTCTTCATGATGTTAAACAGCTGGTCATTAAATACACACACTCTGTACTGTTTATACTTTATAAATAATCACAGGCTAATGACCATAATTTATATCCCCTCTGTAGCCTGCAGCTTCTGGATCAAGTGATAAACAGCTGATAATAGGCTAATTAAACAGTTTACTCAGCTTGTATTGGCATGTATTCATCAAGAAATAAACAGAAACACCATTAACTCACATGGAGTTTAATGATGCCTTCAAGAACACCTCATAAAATCCGACTTCTGATAGATGAGCCGCTTTCACTCATGTTAAATTACTATATTCTACTGGATTAAGTTTAAGGTTGCATGCATAGATTTTGTTTTTCATTCGCTGGTAAACTGTGCAAAGTCAAATGTTATGTATTCATAACTAAAATGTATGATTTTATTTGTGAATAGTTTGTTTATTCACGAATGTCAATTTTCTAAAAGACTATTTCCTGTAAATATTTTGTGTAAAAGAAGTAAAAATAAATAGCCTACAGCATCTAAACAATTAGAATTACACTTTTAAAAGTATTTAAAATCAAAATTTTCTCTATCCTTTTTGTTTTCTCATTTTTAAAAATTTCTATTCGTTTTATTTTTATTTCATGAAACATATTTTGATTAATGAAAGGTTTAAAAGTCAGGCCAGTTCCTAGCTATATTCATGCCTTGCTACTTGAAAACAATGCAGTGGTTAAAGCAAATTTTGGCTATTTTGAATATGTGCAATATCAAAACATCGTACAATTGAAAGAATAGTCATTTGTTGTCCTAATTAACGACCTATCTCACACGATCTCTGTACTCTAAAGATTATGGTTTTGGTCTTTAATTAAATTTAAGTTAAATTCAAATTTGCAGTTTGTTGCGCTGTTCTCTCGTAATTGCAGAATTTCCGACAGCACTCGAACGCAGCGCCTGATGGGAAGTTTCCAACTACCTGTCAAAACAAAAGCTGCTTTTTGTAACGGCTGAATAAAAGCAGACTGGATTATTCTCCGTCTGTTTCACTTAGTTAAACTAACAACGACCAGACTCCATCCACTCCAGCTGATTGAAATTCTGTTCTTCCCTCCACCCGCCCGCACACCCGCCTCCCGGTGCCCGGGTCCTCCGCTCCTCCAAGCCGCTTACCTCTGCTTGTCTCCGGGTGTCAGTGAGGAAACTTTAACCGCTGCTGGTTCCAGCTGAGAGAGGAGGGGTGACCGGCAGCGACCACCGGGGTCCTTATATACACCTTCTCCCCCATACCACTCGTCTCCAGACACGCAGCCGGTGGGAATGTGCGACTATTCGACAGGAATTCAACCGGCCCTTCGTCCATATTAGGTCGCGCGGGAGGCGCACGCAGAGGCTTCGCGCGCCGGGCGGGCCATATATGGAGAGGAAGCCCCCGCGAGGCTGCCGCGGAGCGCTCGAGCCCGTGTATGGAGCGAGACCACACCGACTCACCGACCGGCGTGGAGTACTACTACCCTACACACACACACACACACACACACACACACAGACACACGTTTACGGATTGAAACTAGATAAGCTCTTATGAATAAGACTCTAACATCGCATATAAAGACAACCAATAAAAATTCGAACTATACACAACATAACGAAGTTATGTAGAGAATTTAAAAACATTTGTTTACAAGGAATGTAAGATTACAGTTTCCTAGTTTGACCCTGAGCTACATGATGAATGACAGACACACACTCACTCCTCTGTGGTCGTTTTGCTTCTCTTTGAAGTCGTTTTGTGTCTTTGTATTCGTCATTTAGCGTGTCTTTATGGTCATGTTGTGTCTCTTTATTACTATTTCTGTGTCGTTTTGCATCTCTTGATAGTTTTTTTGAGCCTTTTTTGTGTCTTGTTGTAGTGTGAATATCTTTGTGGCTTTGTAGTAAGTTTGTCTCTGGTTGTTTTGAGTCTCTTTGTTGTAGCTTTACAGCCGTTTGTTCATTTTGTAGCTTTGCATCTCTGTGTAGTTGTTAGATTTACTGTCCAACAGCTACTTGTTTTTGTTACTGCTTGGAAGTGACTGATTAGTGAATTGTTTAAATGTTGTAAAAGTTTCTTCGCTGCTAAAAGTTTCCATTTGAAACAGTTAAAAGTCTCACTGTCTGAAAGATGTTTTGAAGCCGAATTAAGATGAAGTGTAAATACTGAAAACAGTTTTGTGTCATTCTGTGTATATAGTAGTTGCAGACCAAGCATACAGACTTACTTCATTTTAATTAAAGTAGCCAATCAGAGACCAGAGAATCAAGTCAATTTGATGATCAAATTTACTTGGTAAAGAAAGAAAGAATATTGTTTCTATCCTGTGCCAGAAAAGTAAGAGGTTCTTCTTGGTTTCAGGAGGATCGTTGTCAAACACCCTGATTTTTCTTCAGAGATTGTTTCTGGACTGGAAGCTGGAACAACAGCAGCTGAGTTCACACTCCGGTGTCTAAAACAAGAGGGTCAGGACCTCCAACACGCCCGACAGCTGAGTCTGAATTCCTCTGACAGTCCGACACTGAGCCGGCTGTGTTTATCCAGCTGTTTCTCTGCAGGGTCAGGATTCAGAGACACCAGGACTGTCGTCATGAACCCAGAGGAGGGGATGATGCAGCTCCAACATTTATAACAAAGTGACTTCACACTTACAGACACAACATCCTGATCGGATATTAATTTTGTAAGTTATTTTTCTCACCTGCCTCGACAGGTTAAATGTCAATGTTTCAGGCTCTTGACCTTCAAAACAAACCTCCAGTTCTCTGTTAGAAGCTGCTCTATTATATTATATACTACATCTATACCTTTATTAGATTATAAACTACTGAGATAATCGGGGGAAAACATGAATCAAAAGACAGAAAAACACACATAAAACTTTACACTTTACTTTAAATTGTACATTTAGCTTTAGCTTGTGATGTCAAGGGTTGCGAGGTAAGTTGGACCCAAATGCAGCCAACACATGGGAGACGGTGCAGGCAGGTTTATTTAACAAAGAACAGACATGAACAGACAGAGATACAAATGTATGTAAAATGACTAATTATCTGTAATTAAAAATGTAGCTTGTTATTATAAAGGTTAATGTCCACACTAACACTTTAAAGATTTCCTCTGTGATTTCAGGGTGAATCTTATTAGTTTTACATTTATGTGACTTCTACATTCAAACTTTGTAATTCTGGATGAAATGTAGCAAACT